AAAAATGAGAATTTAGCAGAAAGGTTTTACAGATATGAATGCTTAACAGAAGGTTCTCTAGAAATGAAAGCAAGCTTTGATATATAAAAAGTTGTTTTGAGGGCCAGTTGTTGCTGAAACAGCTAAGAGAACAAAGGTTTAGTCAAGTTGGAAGGTTTAGAACAAAGGTTTAGTCAGTTAGAAAGAGGTTTTATGGCTGAAGTCCAACAGGTTAAGTAGTCTTCAAACAAAGCATGTTTTCTACCAAGTAAAAAAGCATAGGCAGACAGAAAGCTGTTTTTTATCAAAGCAAAAAGAATTTTCCACAGCAAAACACGTTTCAATGTTTAACATGTAATTACTAACTCAGATGATTGGTTAGTCACTGACATAGTATGGTAATTCTAGCAGTTTTGATAGGATATATGTAAATGTAAAGGTATTGTGTATGATGCTGATTGGTTGCTATGTAATAATATGCACAGCAAAAAAAAAAGAGATAGAATGCATTGTAACCAGAACTAAATGGGCTTCAGGACATGTGGCTTGCCTATAGCCAGCAGCTGTAGGCCAACCCACAACCCCCAACTGCTGTAACTTAGTCTATGGAATAAACAGCATTATAAAAGAGAGCTGTCTGAAGACCCCATCTCTCTGCCAGCCCTTGTAGCAAGAACTGAGTCCAACAAGATTTGCTGAGGAGAAAAGGACAAATGATGGTAAACTGTGTCAGGCTGGACCTGACACATCTGCAGAAAGGGTGGCTCTCTCATCACCTATCTTTAGGGAGAAAGTACATCATGGCCAGATTTAATAACCTCATCATCAGAAATTTTTCCACTAATTGTCCTTCCATGGGCTGAAATATGAAAAATCCACCTACCAATCTGCCAGTGATGCCTTCAGTCACAGTGTTAGAGGTTAGGATTTTTTTTTTCTCTTTCTCAGGGAATTTTCTCCCATTTGTTGCCTAAGAGATGCCTAACTTAACAGACAAAAGATGTGGCTGGTAAGGAAGGGTGCAGTTTGCTACTGTCTCTTTGCTGGGGAGCTTTCTCTTGAGAAGTGCAGAGATATCTCGAGATTTTGGCTGAGGGGTGAGGGGCTGGGCTTGGCCCTTCAGGATGGAAGGGGAGACGATCGTGGTCTTGCTGCCAGGCTGCTGGTGCAGGGAGAATTCGCTGCCACTGCAGAGTTCTGTCCTTCACTGCTTCTTGTTACCGTGGGTGAGCCTTTGCTCATAAGAGCGGCCACTGAACCTTTTCAACACCAGATCTCCTGGGAAGGACCCTTGCCATCTGCTTGTGTGTCTCGGGGAAAACCCAGGGCCCTGACCCCCGACTGCCCAGAGGGAGCATCTCCTGGCTGCTTGTGGGAGCCTGGCAGCCGCTGCCCAGCCCTGCTGCTTCTGCTTTGGGCTTTTTGCTACACTTAAACAAGACATTCCATGCCCGTGTGGACCCCCATGGCTCCTGGCAGGCCTTTGGATTTTTTGCTACACTTTGTTTGCCACTCCGGCTGTGCTCGCCTCTCCTGTTCCAGGCTGCTGCTCCAAGGTTCCTGCTGTTGTCCATTACACGACCCAGAGGGGCACTGAGACCAACTCCTTCTTGTGGCTTTGCAAAGGAAAGTCCCTTCTCTCCCCTCTCCCGCCAGCCCAGCCACCATGACCCTGTGGAGAGGCTGCTGAGCTCGCGCCACAGCGCCCCCTGCCGGCGCGGGGGAATCATCGCGCCCGGCCGGGAGCCACCAGCGCCCCTGCCGGCTGTGCCCGGAACTGCACCGAAGGGGAAAGTGCCTGACAGCCCAGAGAAGGCTGCGGTTGGGTTTCTGGCTCTGCTCTGTTTGCTGTGCTGCTGCTGTTGTTTCTTGCCATGTTTTATATATATATATATTAATGAAGTAGTGTTATTCCTTTTTCCCTATCTTTGCCTGAAAGCCCTTTAATTTCAATGTTACAATAATTTGGAGGGTAGAGGGTCAAATTTTCCATTCTAAGGGAGGTTTCTGCCCTCCTTAGCAGACACCTTTCCTTCAAACTTGGACACACAGGCAGCAGGAAACACTGCTGCCAGAACCAAAACCAAGACAAAGCTCTAAACTATGTAACAGACTTGAAATACAGATTAGAGGAGGTCCAAAGGTCACCTACTGATTCAAATAGGTCTTGCTTTGCCTCTGAAATGATTTCAAGCTTACCTGTTTTAGTGCTTTGGTCTCCCCTCCCCTCCATGGAAGACTGCTCACTGAGGCACAAGACTGGGGTAAGACATGATCCGTATACACCAGGTATATGACT